GAACGAACCTCTGGCTCTTTGAAATGTAAGAAGAATGTTTAGGACTTTTCAAGAAGCCATGTATAGCACAAATGGTCAAAAACAAAATTGGAAAGAATCATACTTACTTGCTTTCCTCATCTAAAAGGTGGAGCAGCCCTGTTGGTTTCTTGCTAATGAGGTTTATGCAACAGGTATTATCAATGTAATCTATATTGTGCCAGCTGATACCTTCAGTTCTATATTCCTCCTAGGAAATAACAAATATCTCTTTATCTTTCAAAAAATAATAGGTACTTGAACTACCTAGACTAAGAAGCTTTTCTAGGCTTAAAAGTATTATCTAAACTTTTTAAAATCACAAATCCACACAATCGAACAAAGTATAAGTTCAGTTGTACAAATCAAGTGTACATCAGTTTTAAGAAGTATATGCAATCAAATGTTTTGGTTAGAGGCTTATGTGTGTATCCTCAGATCAGATAAAATAAAATCCTTAAAATATTTTTCCATAAAGCATGATGCACATATTCTGTTCATCTAATGGTTTTAATAGTAGTCACTAATAACACTTTGAACAAATCAATCATTTTCAATAGTGATTTTGTAATTTTATCATTCTTCTGTGTCATTATCCTGCAAAGAAAAATAGAGCCTAGAATAAATTCTAATTATCCTAATTTGGAAAAGTAACTGATTAACACTCTCCTTTTAATTAATAATTTCACAAGTAGGAAACTGCTAATAAAGATCACTCCCAAGCAATGATAACAAAAAATTTCAGTTTCTTTTTTCATAGCTGAGCAAAGAATATGGATACTTAAAGATATTATTAGTAGTTATAGAATTAGATGCTTCCGAGTCAGTTTTGCAAAGTTCTTTTAAAAATATCTGATGTCTACTTAACGGCATAAAATTGTGTATCATATCATATTATTTTTTTACTAAATGTAGGATCCACATTGATGTGCTCTTTACCACTAGATTTCTGGTTTTTGATATTCTTCTATCTTGGATTAATTTCAAGAGTGGTTAGTCATTTACTTTTAGCTGTGCTGATCCTCTCCCATGACATTTGTTTTCACTTTCATTTAATTTTCTTTTCTATCTTCATTTCCTTCTTTTTACTTTCAATTGATTCAGTTTGCAATATTTTTACAATTTGTTGCAAGTGATACTTAAATCATTGCTTCTCAATGATTTAAAATCTTTAATAACTACAAATTTCTTCCAAGTACTTACCTTTAGTCACATCCCACAAATTTTAATAGTAATGTGTTCACTAAGTTCAATGTACTTTCTAATTTTTTTTTAATTTCTAGACTATTTAGTAATTTATTTCTTTTTGTTAGTAATATAGATATTTTTCAGTTATTTTTACATTATGGTATTGATGCTGTGATTCCCAGCCTTTGAAATAAAACCAGTCTAATGACCCAGTATATGAACAAATTTCAAAAATTTACATTATTTATACATGTCAAGTAAGTATTTACTTAAAATTTTTTCTAAATTCTATTTGATATAGGCATCAGATTCAGGGAAACTGGTATTCTGACCTGAAGTACAGGCAGGACTGGATGCCTACAAAAGCACTCACCCTACATAAAATCTTTTGTATCTTTACTGATTTTGTCTTCCAGTCATTCGGCAAGGCATGTTAAGACATTCTACCTTAATTGCAAATATATGTTTCTTTTAGAGTTTTATTAATCTTTGTTTTACATATTTTCAGTAGAATTATCAACTACCTATAAAATATTTCTTGATGAATTTATCCTTTTAGCATTACCAAGTATTTTTTCTCTAGTAAAGGTTAAACTATGGCATTGCTACAGCTATAGAGAACATCTTTTAAAGTTTGCTTGTTCTTTTTCCTTCCTGTTACTTTTTTTTTTTTTAAAGATTTATTTATTTATGCATACAGAACTGGGGTACAGGCCAGAGGCTGGGGCAGTGAGAGGCTTCACCAGAGACAGAGTGGGGAGCAGAACAGGCAGATCGACAAAGTACACTGCTGAGGGGAGCAGCGGGTGGGTCAGGAGAGGTCTGCCACACCATGTGGTCACGTCCGGGGCAGGCGGGAATCGAACTCATGCGGAAGTGGCCTCAGCTTCTCAGTGCAGTGCTTTAACCCGCTGCGCCACCAGGGAGGGCCACTTCCTGTTACTTTTAACCTTCTGAATGTTTATATTTAATGCTCTTAACATGCAATGCCTTATTTTTGTTTTCTACCCAGTCTGACAATCATTGGCCTTATTTTTGTTTTCTACCCAGTCTGACAATCATTGGTTTTTTTCTTGGAGCAATCGGTTTATAGTTAATGCAATCACTGATATTGTGGGGTTAAACTGCCATCTCACCATTTGTTACTTGCCTTTCTTTCTTTTGAATTGCTAGGGTTGTTTATTTAGTCCCTACTATAGTAAGTTGACTTTTACACTTTTTAATAATTTTGTCGCTATCCCAGGGATCTTAACACTCCATACTTAACAACATCTAAGAGAGGACAAAATACTCCATCATTCAACATTTAGTACAAAGATCTCAGAAGACCTTCCTGATTTAAGAGCTATTATACTTATGTATTTTAATTCTACCTAAAATTTAAACCACAGGAATTATTTTAATCTGATTTAGTTAAAATCATTTAGATTTGCCTAATCTTTTTTTTTTAAGATATGCCTAATCTTTTAAATATTCATTGTTCTTCATTCCTTCCTGCATGTCTAACTACAATGGAGCTATATAATTTAAGCGACTGCCCAAATAACATGCTGTATTTTTAAAGAAAATACCCCACTGTCTTCTGGCATCCACTGCGTCTCCTCACACTGTAACCCACTGTGTCTGCTAGTTTTACTCTTGCTTTTTTTCTTTTTAAATACAGCTTCTTCACCCACACCCACACCCTAGGCTACGTCTCATATTTTTACACTGTCTTTGGTTTACTATATTGGCTGTCTTTGTACTTATCATGCTTAGGATTCTTAGAGTTTCTGAGATGTGCATTCGCTGGATTTTTTTGTTTTATGTTATGGAAAATTTTCAATCATTACCTTTTGTTTTGTTTTAATCATATCTTATCAAATATAGCTTCTGTACTATTCTTTCTCTCACATGTAACTTTCCAGAATCCCTACAATACAGTGTTTAACCTTTTCGTTATGATCCATGTCTCCTACTATTCATATTTTCCATTTACTTTTAATCATCTTCTTGACTTTTTCAATCAGTGTCTACAGAATCTAATTGTTAAAAACTAACACTGTGCTCTTAATCTCACTCTAATTTTTAGTTTTAGATTTTCCTAGAGTTGGGTTTACTTTACAAATTTTTAGTTCTTTAATAAAAACATTGTTATTTAAAAATTAAAAAATTCCTTAAAGTATTTGTACTTTTAAGTTCATGTGTGATATCATCATTATCCAGATTCCTTATGGCACTTTCTTTTTTGTTTGTATTCATTCTGCTTTGACTCTTTTTTTCTTTCTTTCTTTTTTAAATGAATGCTAGATTCTGTTCATGGAAAATCATAGAGGTATTAGGATGTTCTCATCTTCCACAGGTACTTACTTTGCTCTTGGCAGTAACTAAGAACACTAGTAATTATACATTGTTTTAACTCAATCAGAAACTGAGATAACATTACACTGGGCTTCAGTCTCTAAGATTCCTAATATATTTCTGACTTACTTCAATTCCTAAGATATAAACCTCCAGGGCTTCAACCTTAAGTCTGTAGAAGCTGCTAGGTCTTCCTCCTTGCTCCTGAATTTAGATTTTAAAACCCTGTTCAGTATCTCAGACTCTCAAAGTCTGGTTCTTTCAGAATCAACAACCCTCTACCAGAATAGAGAATGGTCTCTGGAACAAATACTGGTGTCAACTCCATGAATTTCCTTCTTACATATCCAAGTCCCATAAAACTTCACTTATTGGAATGTACTACAGTGCCTTCGAATATATTTTGTTCAACTTTTTTCTAGGTATTCTCCAAGTGAAGGTTGGTCAAATTTCTCAGTCGGATCAGTGGAAGTAGGATAGACAAAAGAAAAACTCACTAATCTAGGAATTTCTCACTAAGTAGGAAACTCACTAAATTAGGAAGATTCCTACAACTCTAAATTTTCTATCTTCAATGTCTAAGCTCAGATTCCTGACATACAACTTTTTCAATTTACTGATGAATCAGTTATCTGAAGGATAATTTTGAGTAGGTAAAGGAAGACAGAAGTAGTACAAATGACAACAGAAAATACATTTTCAAATCGCAGAAGACTTTTTTGGTTTATCTCTTATGTCACATTATCTTTGCTAATACTCTGATTCAGGACTCAATCACGAACCCACACTACTGCAACTGGTTCACAGACGATCTCCTCCCCTCCAATTCACCTCTCCTTGGTCTATCTTCCACACTTTCAAGTTCTCTGTAAGTACACTTCAAAAACTTCCTCATTCTGTAACAGAAAATTTCTAATAGTCCCTGCATTACATATGAGTCTACTTGACCCTAGGCTATTTCATCAAGCTATACTGAAGCATCATCAATTCCTCTGAAGTGCCATATTATTTTATGGCTTGCAGTTTTAAGGATATTGTTACCTCTATCTAAAATATCTTTTCTCCACTGACAATCTGGTTAGCTCAACTTTCCATTTTACAAAATAGCCCAAACTATACCTCTGAAGACCTTCAATAAATTCAAATCCACTCCATCCTTTATATCACTACTTTATTTTATATATGATACTGGCACTTACTATCCTGCATAGCAATTATTACATCACTAGTGTATAGTACATAAATACTATTTTTGGACATAATTGATGGAATTTTGTAATGGAAATTCAATAATCAAGATTTTAAAATATATCCTCCAAAAGGTACTATGATAAAGTTTTTATCTTTAACCTCTTTATGAAAAAAATTTTTAAAAATTTTTTAATTGGCTTAACTGATTTCTTGAATTTTAAAGATTTATTTAGTTATGCATACAGAACTGGGGTACAGGCCTAAGGTACAGGGGCAGTGAGAGGATTCACCAGAGACAGACTGGGGAGCAGAAAAGGCTGACTGAAGAAGTACACTGCTGAGGGGGGCAGCGGACGAGTCAGGAGAGGTCTGCCACTCCATGTGGATCACATCCAAGGCTGGGGATTGAACTCATGCTGAAGTAGCTTTAGCTTCTTAGTGCTGTGCTTTAAGCCACTGCACCACCAGGTAGGGCCCTTATTCAAATGTTTTTAACATTCACTGACACCAACTCTCATATTAGGTACCAGATACAAATAAACAAAAGAATAAACTGCCTTAAATCTCTTAACTCCAGTAAATCCATTTTAAGTGGGATAACAGGAGGAAACAATAGAATAGATGGCACAAACATATAGTCTCTAAAATTTCCATAAATTTTATCAAAGCATCCCCATTACATATATTACAGAAACAAATAATTAAACTTGACAGCAAAAATGGATAAGCCTTAGAATCTATGTCTTCTACTGCTCCATAATTTCATCATATGTTTAAAATTGTGATATTCAAGGCGGCAAGTAAATAAGTAAACCACAAGTAATTTTAAACATATCTTCCATGAATTATATAAGGCTTTATTTTGAAATATAATGAGAAGGCATTTCTTGTGAATTCTTCATGTCTAATCTACACATCTAGAAAAAGAATAATTTCAGGTCACAATTAAAGGACATCTTTCTTCTCCAAAACCAATTTAACCACTCTTCTCTTTAATGACCCCAAAAGCAACTGAAACTTTGCTATGTAGAAGATAACCAATAAAGTTCATTCCTCCATCCCTCTGATACATATAACCATTTTTGAGAGGTTAAAAAAATATTAATTTAGCATGATCTATTTAAAATAGTGCCAGACTGAGTCCAGATCAGACTCAACTCAGTTTTTATAGTTAACAAATGAGGGGTATTAAAGTTTTAAACACTTGCTCTGGCATTCTATAAAACTAGATAAAAATAGTACCTGCCTGATAAGTAAATATTACATAAAAGGTAATATAATGATTTTTTTTAATAGTTCCATCTGAGTCTGGCTAAAAGGTGTTGTTATAAATTTTAAGCATTCGACTATACAGCTAGGATTAATACTGCTTATGCTACTGTTAATCAGCTCTCTAAGCAATATAAAGATAATTTAAGCTAGAACAGAAGACAACAAAAATAGGAAAGTGGTTTTGTGGTGGTTGTTTTTTATTTTTTTTTCCCCCTGCTTTGTAGATTTGCCATGGTCTTTCTGTCCATTTCTTCACTATCTCCTTTGAATCAAATGTGAACACTGCTACTCCCAGCTTGCCATGGTACATAATATGAAAGTTAGAGCTATAATGTAAATCTCTTACTGACTTGAAACTTGACTTGTCAACATTTTTTCTTTGACCTTTTATTACATTAACACTAAAGAATTCTCATGGAAACTAAAGGGTAACCTGTTCTAAACTAAATCAATTTGAGCTTATTATAAGAAATATCTAGTTATACATTTTAGTCCCTCTATGTTGCCTGTTTCCTTTAATCCACACTGAGTTAACTTAATATACTATTAATGAGCTCCTCTATCCCATCTTGGAACTAAGATACCAAAGTAATGAAACAGATATACTTAGCATTACCCACAGTGATGAAGACTCACGGAAACAGTTTAAAATCAGTAATACCAAAGAAACCCAAAGCAAATCCATGTGTCTTTACATCCAAAGATGCACTCAACCAAGCAGTTATTGAATCTGCCTGCGGTCAATTGAAAAAAGGAGTTGATCCTGTATGATGTGGTTCAAGAACTATGATTAGCTTAGCCAACTGCTTACAAACTGGCATAAGACCATATATCTTTTCATGAAAAACAAGATTAAAGTACTAGTCACGACTATGATTCAAAAGTTATGTATGTGTGTGTGCTTGAAGTTAGAATAGTAGAGAACTGTGAAGAGAACAGACAAACATACATTTTAGGAACTTACTTGCTCCAGTTTAAAGATATGCTGGTTAAAGTAATGTTGTAAACGTTCATTAGCAAAATTAATACAGAATTGTTCAAAGCTGTTATTTTCATAATCTTCAAACCCAAAAATATCAAGAACACCAATAGACAAAGTCTGTAAACAGGGAAGAAAACTGGGGTTAAAAATTATGTTCAAGTATATTGAATGGCTATCTACAATACAACTAACAAAATGCTCAAAGTTCTTTTGTAACAGCAGAGAGGATTTTTTAAGGCCAGTGTTCAAACAAATATACCATAGATATCATCTAGCCCTCTTTATATAACATAAAATGCATTGATTACTTTAGAGATGTGTGGAAAGTGAATGACTTGTTATCTCAATCTCAAAATCCCTAAACACCAGAAGATAAAAGGAATAGAAACAATAGGCTATGGGTAAATCAAAAGTTTAATTGAGTGAAGAAGTTACTCCTGGGTATGCCTGGTTATTGCCAAGATATTCATGTAACTTTTCTATTTTGGTTTCTATGCCCCCATAGAATTCTGCTTCAAGAAGCAGCTAAGAAGTATGTTTAATTAGCCTTGTACAAGCTAAGAATTAAACTAGATACCAGAGTAGCAGACTTCTTGAAGTTAAATTTTTAAATTTTTATCCAAAAAAGAAAAAGGTTTATGATATTAAAAAGCTCTACAAGGGAGTCCAAAGGAAAAGAATAACAATCCCTTCTTCATCCTTAACTTCTACTTCCTAAAGTCAATGCTCAAACCCTTTAGCTGTTTAATATAGACTAGTATAGTATATAAACATTTATATAATAATATAATATAATATTTTACATTTAGAAATTATTTTCTAACTACTTAAAATAGAGAGTAGAGATTTAGCTCTAATACCCCCAAACCAATTAATTATCTCATTCTTCAAATCCAGTTGTATGAAAACCTTAGTGAAATGAAAACAATTTTTCTATACTGCTGCTAAGAGAGATATTGGCAAACTGATGTAATACATGATAAATGGTAAGAGATTTCTTTTGCAGATTTCACTAACAGTATTTTCCTAGTTCTACTGAATAAGATTCTAAGCACTTGTGAAAATAAATACATTCAAAATTAGGCTTATTTGCTAAATTAAATTACAATTACAATTAATTTTCCAGCTGTAGATTTATTCAAAGCATGAAAATCAATGTAAATGAAGACAAGATTAAGTAATAAAAATGATATCTTGTCAAGTCTGAAAACATAGATCATTCTATGAACAATATTAGGAAATAAAATGGGTTTTAAATGATTTAAATATCTAAAATCTGTCATATTAAGAAACATCATCCCAATTGGGGGGTAAAAATCTAAACATAAAAAATTAAACTCTGTGAGTATAAGTATTTTATAATGCTGCACTGTTCCTATATAAGAAAAATAAACAAAACAGGGGTGGGGGGAAGACAGCTCAAAAACTCATAGCATAATCAAATCTACAGTCAAGTGAAAATACCAAAGAATCTGTCATTTAAAAAACTGTCAATAAAATGGGATAGTCCTCCTTTATTAGATTAGCAGATGAAAATACTGTTAAAATCCCACGTGAGCCAAAGGTATAGGAAAATAGGTACTTTTATACACTGTTGGTAGAAATGTAGTCTTTTTGAAATTTAACTGTAGCTGCCAAAATTTTAAAACATACCTATCCTTAAATACAACAATTCCATTTTGAGAATTTTATAGTGGAGAAATGTACAGAAAAATAAATGAAATATGATTTGTTATAGCATGATTTGCAACAAAATGACTGTATTTTTAATGGGAGAATTTACATACTAAATAATACTACAAATTTGTTAAAAACAGTAAGGTCAAGATACATTCAAGCACACCATGTTAAAAAAATACAACTTAAAAAAGTACAAATAACAATTCTAAAAAGTGATTTTGAATTCAGTATACAACTACAGCAATGTCAAGTATAGAAGGAAAAAAGACTGAAAACACACAGAACAACATTTCCCATGAATAAGTACTAGCCAAATTAATGTTGTAAGTAGTAAGAGAATTTAATTCTCCACTAGCAGTATTTCACTAATTCTGCTAACTCTAAGCATTTGTGAAAATTGTGACCTTCAAAAATAAGTCAATAAGGAAGAAACAGCAGGGAATACAGATTTAAAAAACCAATTCTTATTACTCTATATAATTCTGTACTTTTAAATTATATGTATTAACCATTTTATTACAACTGTTTATGTGCAGACATAAATCATATCCCAATGTATATCTACCTTGGTATTTTGTTCGAGATCTTTACTATTCAGAAGTGCATGATTAATCCGAAAAACTATCCAGTCAAACAGGGCACTATATAAAGACTTAGCCATGGAATTCCTCACTGTCACAGCCTGGGGGAGTGATGGGAGAGAGAGTAAAAGGTTAAAAATACAAGTGAAACTGGCAATAATTTTACCAAAACAAAGTGCATTTTGCTCTCATTCATCCAAGAATGCTAGCTTACTATCCTGAATTAGAAAATAATATTTCTCACAAGTATATATTGAAATTTGTCATAGATACTTATTTAGTTTATTTAGTACAATTCAAAGAATACAGGCTAAAATGACCATTAAAAAAGAAGGAAAACAAGGATATAGGTTCAAAACATTTTTATTGCAAATTAAAATATATATTACATGTAGTAAAGAGGGTAGAAAGTTAACAAATGAACCTTGCCATTTAAAAGTAGCAAATAGTATATCAGGCAGGAGAACAAATCTGTAAGCAAAATGCATCAGTTGCAAATTAAAACCACAAAGGGATACCACCTCCCCCTAGTGAGAATGACACATCTTAAAACAACTAGAAACAACAAATGTTGGAGGATGTGGAGAAAAAGGAACTCTCCTGCACTGCTGGTGGGAATGCAAACTAGTACAACCACTATGGAAAACTGTTTGGAGGTTCCTCAAACTGCTAAACATGGAGCGTCCATATGACCCAGCAATCCCACTCCTAGCTATCTACTCAAAAGACACAAAACACTGATTCAAAAAGATACCTGCACCCCCATGTTTATTGCTGCTTTATCTACAATTGGAAAGACATGGAAACAACCCAAATGCCCAAAAGTGGATGACTGGATTAAAAAGATGTGGTACATATACACAATGGAATATTACTCAGCAACCAAAAAAATAAATAAATAAACACATGCATTTTGCAGCAATATGGATGGGGCTGGAAAAGATCATGCTTAATGAAATAAGCCAGAAAGAAAAGGAAAAATACCAGATGGTTTCAATCATAGCAGGAGTATAACAGACCAGGTAAGAAAATAACAATAATAATGAACAGCTATATACCAGAGACATTTTATGGGGTGGAGTGGGGAATGGGATCAAAAAACAGTGGGGGGAGGAAATGCACTGGACTATGGTGATGACAAGCCCACAGGGATTATAACCAAGATGGAAAAAGGCACAAAATGATGGAAAAATAAACTATTATAATTTAAAAAAAAAATGCATCAGTTATCTGTGAAATTCTAGTCATATACTGAAAACACAATTCTAATACTGCCACAAATTAAATTATTGGTAGTCCTCAGTTTGCCATACACAGTAACCTCTAGATTTCTCCAACCCCAAATAAAGTAACACTTATTTTATTATGGAAATGTGCAATTTAACTTTTCTCTCACTTCAAGCTTTCCCCAGTATAGAAATTGTGCTGTCTGCTCAGTTTTTCTGGAAATCTGAAATCTTCATAAAAAATAAAGTCTATTAAAAAAATTCAACATTTTCAAAGTACTATAACCCAAAAGGTAAGGAGATCCATTATCATCTAAGCCTTAACATTAGAAAAATACAAATTCCAATAATTTATATACATATTGTCCAAGGCCTTAAAGAGCTAGACTATCCATTCAGTTTTCTATTTTATTCTAGCTGTGTGACCTTGGTCAATTCACCTAAACTCTTAAGACTACAGCTTATACATTTGTAAAACACAGATAATACTATAACCTACAGATAGGTAAGTGAAATTGTGAATTTCAATTAGAAAACTGAAAACTTCGAGTTGATGGATGAAAAACTAACCACATAAATCACCACCAACATAGTAAAGGCAGGTATCAAATTTTCTATCTTGAAAACTAGAAACTTGCAAATGATCAAAATGTTTATAAATTCTGAGAGAATTCTATAGCCTAAGTTCTAAGAATTCTAAGTTCTGAGAATTCTATACTTAAGCGAAGTGTCAACACTGTATGATCATTGATCACTTTCATAAAATTACATAATAAACAGTACATTTTTCAATAATATTCCTACTGCTACACACTCTAATAATATAATACTAAAAATGATTCACTATAGCAATGAAATTCACAATGCAGATGATGTTTAAAGTCATGGAAATGAGTGAGATAATCTAGATAAAAAAGAAGGCAAAAACTCCCCAAGCACTCCATCCTTTAGTGGTCAGGGAGAAAAAAAAAAGCAAACACAATGAACTACAATGAAGAAGCCAACAATGAAAAGCAAACTAGATTATGATCTGCTGAAAGAAAAGAAACTGTCTCAAGAAAGAATAATTTGGGTCAACTACTGTTCATTCATAGATCAGCACATCCTCTATTCACCATATATTAATTAGATGAAACTTAAGAATGGTGAGCAGTTTAAGAATGGCGTGAAATTTAAATATATTGTTTTAAGTTTCCAAGTGGATGGAAAGTTCACTATTAAATTTCAAGAGTCCAGAAATAATTTCAACGTCCCTTGTTACTTTCATTCTGTAAAGAAAAAACATAAACACAAGCTACTAAAAATGTTCAACATGCTTTGATCACAAGAGAAAATCTTTTTCATACCTCTGCAAGTTTATACGGTAAAACAAGCTTTTCTCCCACTGTCATAGTCTTCCTTGTAACTAATGCTTCAAACAGCATCTCTTCTTTAACCTATACAGCAGAAAAACAAATTCATTATGTAAAATTTATGACATTAGATTGATTTATTGAAAAGTCAAATCGAGGTAAAAATAATGTTAACAAATATACAAGAAAGTTTAAAAAAAAAAACAAAGAAAAAATGCTAGGTAATTTAAATATTGGCCAAAGTAGAATTTAAGTGTCCGTTCACCCCATTTTCACCTTTATCAAAAAAAAAAAATAAAGGAAACAGAGGGTAAATAAGGTAGGTTAGCTTTTCTTTGAAAAGAGATGAGTGTTTTATTGGCATTTTCAGATAATTATGGTTCTTTTTTGATACAGCAAAATTCCACTGCGTACTTAAGGGCTAATGAGAGTTGGAAGGTGGATAATATCTTACCATTATTGTAAAAATGACTATGAACTTAAAGGGGTACAGGCATCCTCAATCAATTTAAAATCAGTGCACAAAATGAAGAAAATGTAAAAAAAATTTAAAAAATAATAAAACAGAAACAAACAAACAAAAAAACAACAACAACAACAACAAAAAAAAAAACAGGACTACATCCAAGACAGAGTATTTCCAGAGCACCTGATTTTAAACTGATTTGAGGTAGATGAGCTTTTTAAAGTTTTCTTTCTACTTATAATGAAGAAGAATGCTTCAATGTGTAGAATATGGAAAACATGTCATAGTAAAAAATAAAATTATTTAAGACAATCAACCATAATCACACAACCTAGATGCAAGGATTAAAGAGTCACAACACTTCTTGAATTCTAGAAACATTCTAATGGACACTTATTTATGTCTCAGTTATTAATTTCTTTTAAATGTTAGATAAAGTTGATGCTTTCTTTGGTCACACTCCCTCTAGAGGCAAATATTATAATTAATCCACATGTATTGTTTCAGTTCATGTTTTTATACATATATACACTAAACACTACATGTTGTCAAGTGTATTTAACTCTTATCAGTATAGTATTACAACTGTCCATATGTTTTTAAAATTGAATATGTTGATAATCTAGATTTATTCATTATCAACTGCTAACTAGCAAATTAGTAATAAATACAGTGTGTAATCCATTCTCCTACTTGTAGACATTAAACTATTTACGATTTTGCACTATATTAGATAGTAAACTGCTGTGGTTCAAGATTTTCTTTAAAGTATATGCTAAAAGTGAAACTAACAGGTGGTAATGTACATATTTTCACCTTTACAGAATACTGCCGAACTTCTGTACACAGTCTTTATCAGTTTTATCTGAGCAACAGCACTCAGATTTCTTATTTCTTCAAACCTTGACTACTCGGTATTATAGGACTTAACGACTTTTGCCATAATGATGGGAATGAAATGGTAAAACACTTCATTTTTATATGAACATCCAAACCGTGATAAGGAAATAACACTCATAAAATTCTATATACAGAATGACGTAAAATGTATTAGCCCAAAGATTAGATTACAAAGAGAAATGATTATAAAGCAATTAAGTTCAGCAACACCCTGCCACCAGCAGCAATGCTGGTGATTGACCTGATGACAGATCAATCATTTTTAAAATATGATTACACCATAAAGGAAATATACCTTCTTTTGGAGTACCCACCATTCAGTTCTCAAATTCCAAATAATGGAAATAATTTGAGGCATATTATCCTCACAAAAAGCAAAAAACTAAAAAGGAACAGCCGAAGTGTAAATATAAAACCACAACCGTTCAGATCTATTTAAAATACTGAGAAACAAAAATAAAATCCCAGAGTACAAAAATGACAAAATTATAAAAGTGAAGAAAAACATGATCAAAACCACTGTTGTATTGTCATATGCTTCTACATTTAACCACTTATCATTAAAAGTGAACATTTAAATATAAATGATCTTGGTGGTTAGTATACACTATGGCAACAATGCCTAAAGGGGAGAATCCTATACTTCTATTGTAGAAATAGTGATGTCAACCAACATCAACTTACTGAAAAATATTTTAAAATTTAAAATTAACAGCATAATATTAAAAAAAAAATAAGTTATGCTCTTGACTCAATAAAACTTTTAAAAGGAGCAAACATAGCTGGCAAGACGGAGCAAAAAGGTACTTCCATGCACTGGTATAAACTGGTTCAACCACTAAGAGAGTAATTTGGAACTATCAGTAAATCTAAATATGTACATATATGCCATATCTCAAAAATTGTTCTTTGGATTATATCCTTTTGGAGGATATATTTTAAAATCTTGATTATTGAATTTCCATTACAAAATTCCATCAATTATGTCCAAAAATAGTATTTATGTACTATACACTAGTGTATGTAATAATTGCTATGCAGTATAGTAAGTGCTAGTATCATATATAAAATAAAGTAGTGATATAAAGGATGGAGTGGATTTGAATTTACTGAAGGTCTGCAGAGGTAGAGTTTGGGCTATTTTGTAAAATGGAAAGTTGAGCTAACCCAACACCTCTGGCTTCTACCCAGTTCTGTATGCATAAATAAATAAATCTTTGATATATATATATGTGTGTGTGTGTGTGTGTGTGTGTGTGTATAATATAATATATATATATATCCATACATACAAAAGTTAATATTTTTAAAAAAAGAATGAAAGACAGAGAATGGAAATTAGGCTTTTAGTGGTAACCTTAATATAGTATACAGTGTTGTATACCTGAAACCTATATCTCATAAACCAATGTTACTGCAATAAAAATTTTTAAATTCAGCTAAAAAAAGCCAACATTCACACAAATCAAAAGAAAAATTATGAAATACAAAATTTTGTATTTTGAATAGAGAAGTATAAAAAATAAAATATTCAAAATAGTCACAAAGAATGAATAATGAATTTTAAACATTTAATTAAAACATGATTTCCTAGAATAACAAATTATCATAATTAACTCAATCCAGTTTTAAAAAGACTAAACCATTAGCCAACAGAACAAACTGATATCAAATACAGTTGCTTGTAAGATTTATATCTCTCAAATTTTTTTTAAAGATTAATTTATTTTATGCATACAGGTCAGAGGGGGTGAGAGGAATCACCAGAGACAGAGTGGGGAGCAGAACAGGCAGATGTATTGAAATACACTGCAGAGGGGAACAGTGGGCGAGACAGCGAAGGTCTGCTGCGCAGGGATCCAACTCCTATTGAAGTGGCTGCAGTGAGCTTCACAGTGTTGAGCTTTAACCCATTGTCTCCTTGTTCACATATGAAAATTATTCTATAGGAGGGCCCTATATCTCTCAAACTTTTAAGAAACATTATTTGCTAGTGAGTTTTCTTTGAAGTATGGAAAATTATTTTTATGAAAAACTACCCAACTGATTTTAGTTGCTGGTTTAAAGCTGGCATTAAAACTGCTAATTTTATTACCGTACCAGCTCTATTATATTCAGGTTTATTATCATACACATATCTATGTATGAATAATCACATGAAACACTGATCTTCATTATATATATCTTCATAAACATCCTAAAGGAAATATAATGAATTCATATTTTAACCAGCTACTCTATAATTTTCCAAAGTTGTATATAGTAACTTAATATTTTACATTTTTATTAATATAATAATTAGCAATGAGCTCAAAATCCAACCTCAAAATTTCCCAAATTCACCTCATTGAGAAACTGAGATGTAAAACTTACTCTATATATTCATGCTGTTCCAACATGTTAATATAGCCTTAAAATATATAAATTGGCTAAAAACCAGTATTTTTTTGGTAATGGTGATAGCTCTAACATCTCAAAACAAATCATGCTCCACAATTGAAGGCTGTTCATCTTTTAGGGATTTTACAAAAAAAACTAACCCCAAATAGGATTTAGCAAAAAGAAGACTGAAAACATTAACCGCTGCTTGAGGTAATGACAAAAAATAACTGGAAGAAATAAATTAAACTATTCTTTTAAAAACATCTATTCTTAAAAAATTAAATCTTTATCACTGAATTGAATCATTTGGGGAGGACAGGGCATTAAATAGAATAGTTAATTTAGTTAAATTTAACTAAAGACTAACTTTTAATTGTACAGTGGTTATGTCTATCTTTTAAGTTATCTCAACAAAAGTCTTAAATTTACAATTATTTTCAATCTTAACAAATAAAGGTAAATATTTTTTTAAATAATTTTAAATAACTCACTATAGGCAGGTTACCAAGGTAAGTCCTGTCAGATTTTCTCCAGTTATCTTTTTACTTATTTCCAAACCTTCATTACTAGAACCAACCCAAACCATATGTAACAAGAAAGAATACTGGGTTAGGACCTCTCTGGTGCAGAGGGATTAAAGACAGCACTATCAACTATCAACAGTCACTACACAAGTTTGATTCTGGTCAGCCAGAAAGCTGACCCACATGGCATAGTAGACTTCTCTTATATGGCCTGCTGTGGCCCTCAGCAGTGTATTTCTGCCTGTTCTACTCCCTATTCTATCATCTAAACTTCCCTCCACTCCCCCCTTCCACACACACACACTTATGGCCTACACCCCAGTTCTTGTATGCATAAATAAATAAATCTTTTAAAAAAATAAAAGAATCCTGGGCTAATGGTGATATCTGCTATCAAGTCAATTCCTTCTCTGAATTGCCTGACTTGCTCTTTTTTTCTCTCATTAAAAAAAAAGGAATATTGGCTAGGATCAGAATCTTGTAAGATCACATCACAATACCATAAATTATAACACCAAATGTTTGACTGAAATGTCTAGCTGAAATACCAGCTGTTCTCTTGACTCTCATGAGTCTTCAAAATGACAGTTTTCAGACATTACACTCCAGGATCCTAGTAGAACTTCTTTCCAATCAGCAAGTATACTTCCAATTTAAGGTACTACTTCTCCTCCTTCTGACAAGCCAACTTATCCATTAAAGTTATTTAGTAACATCCAGTTATGCACAAATAATAAACATTATAAGATCAGATAAATAAGATTTATCCGTTACTCTCAAAAGTTTTGCAGTCTTATAATGATTTGCTTTTACAAAACCAAAATTAAATTATGCTAAGTATAAGAAAATGCTCTATGCTGATGGACAGTTCAGTACAACCACCAAGGTTAAATGCCATGAAGTGGCACTGAGCCATGATTTGAAAGACGAGTAATATTTTCACAAGAAAAAAGTAGGCTATTTGTAATTGCAAAACAAACTGAAAACAATTAGGACAGCTTTCAATAGGTAAATGGATAAACTGTGGTACACTGATACAAGGGAATATTATTGAGCAATAAAGAACCATACTAACACTTCATGAAAAGACATGGATGATCTTAAATGTATATATATACTTTTAAAGATTTATCTATTTATGCATACAGAACTGGAGTACAGGCCAGAGGTTTAGGGGTGGTAAGAACAGAACAGGCAGATGTACAAAGTACTGAGGGGAGTAGTGGGAGATTCAGGAGAGGTCTGTTATGCCATATGTGCACAGGTCACCTTCCTGATTAGGGATCGAACTTGTGCTGAAGCAGCTGCAAATAGCTTTGCAGCCCTGTGCTTTAACCTACTGCGCTACCAGGGAGGACTCAAATGTATATATATATTTTTTTTTTAAAGATTTATTTATTTGTGCATACAGAACTGGGGTACAGGCCAGAGGTTCAGGGGCGGTGAGAGGCCTCACCAGAGACAAAGCGGGGAGCAGAACAGGCAGGTTGACGAAGTACACTGCTGAGGGGAGCAGGGGGCGGGTCAGGAGAGGTCTGCCACACCATGTGGTCACCTCCGGGGCAGGCGGGAATCGAACTCATGTTGAAGCGGCTTTAGATTCTCAGTGCTGTGCTTTAACCCGCTGCACCACCAGGGAGGGCCCAAATGTATATTTTTTTAAGTAAAACAAGTCATTCTGAAAAGGCTGCTATTCTATGATGACAATTACATTACATTCTGGAAAAATCTACATAACTAGAAAAGGAGATTGAGGAAGGGGATAAATGGGTACAAAACAGGACTTTTAGGGCAGCAGAACTATTCTGTATGACATTGGAATGGAGATTCATTATATTATGCATTTAACTTTAATGTATACATGTATTTAAAAATTAAATCAATGTGGGGGGAATGTAGACCATGACAAAAGAACATAGTTGTATGACAAAAATATGAAATAATTGCATTTAAGGGGTAGGAGGAAAAGGTACTGACCTAAGTAATTTTGAAAATGGAGTCTGTAAGACAAAGGCAAAAGGAAGTGCAAAGGAGTATGTGTTAACAATTTTAATATTGCCATATATATACATATATATACATATATATGTGTGTGTACATATATATATAGAATTAATATTGCCATATATATACATATATATACATATATATGTGTGTGTACATATATATATAGAAAGACACACAAAGAGATCTTGCATAACTTCATTGAGCTCAACTTCATTTTTTTATATCATAATGAAAAAAAGAAGTCCTCTAAAGATTATTTGAGGATGTGAGTTTTATTATACATTGCATTACTTAAAATGGCAGTTTCTGAGACTACCAAAAACAAACATTAAGTGAGGACTTAATATCAGTATACCAGAATTGAACAATTAAATTAATGAATAGAATATGGTAGGGAACGAGTTCCTCATAGTTAGCAAGGGAGTTTACTGAGAAACAAGGGAAGAAAACTAGAATGACACATTTAATAATGAATTATTCAGATATATTACATTCTCATGTTTATTCTTATAAAGTCGCACACAGTTACATAAAACAGTACTTAGACACAAAACTATACACAAGTTAGTATACACACATAGATTTCTTTGCTTTATAAGACAGGAAGAAGGCCTATAAAAAAATGATAGACTTTTTTCAAAATTTATTTTATTTACTTATGCATACAAGTGCTGCAATGTAGACCAGAGGTACGAGGGAGACTGGGGTAGTTGAGAGGATTCACAGGAGACAGAGTGGGGAACAAAACAGGCAGATCTACTGAAATACATGCTGAGGGAAACAGCAAGTAAGAAGGAGAGGTCTGCTGCACCATGTGGGTCACCTCCCCAGGGAATGAACTTATGATGGCATGGCTGCATATAGCTCCTAGTGGAGACTTAACCCTTTGCACACCAGAGAGGACCCCAAAATGACAGACTTTTTAAGACTAATTCTGGCAAGATGTGGTTAGCTGAGAAAACATAAGAAATCATCACACTAGAAGAAAGTAGGTAATAAGAAAGACTCTGTTATAGGAAGAAGTACAATAGAAGATGAAGATATTCAACCCTATTTAGCTTTTTCTCCCTACCCATCCTAGTACACCATCTTCAAATAAAATAATCTAAAATAAAATCATCAAAACTTGGGTATAAGAAAAAAATCTCAAGTACAGAGAGAGAAGAGAACTCAAACATTATAAAGTCTAAAGTAAAATATTCACTCTGTCCAGCAAACTGAGCGACCTTAGGAATCTGAAACAAGGGAAGAGGAGAAAAACCAAATCTTCTAAAGATTCTGGTACACTCAAGAGTAAAAATTTCATCTTTTGGAAAAACTATTAATAGTGTTAACTCACACCTACAAAACAGTCACACAAGGTAAACAGCTGAGCAGTTAGTATCTGAAATAACAACTGAGAATACAATTACTCACTTCTAATAATTCTGAGACAACAGGCAGAACTTCAGGATTACAGATATCTATGGAGTCATCCCGGTATGTCTTCTTTTTATAACAGATATTGCCCAAGTGTAGTATTGCTGAGAGAAGAGAGAAAATCCTGTGGGGGAAAAAAACACAAATTGCAGAGCTTACTTTCATGCATTCTCTAAGCTTATTTCCTAAGTTTAAATATCAGAATAACAACTATAATAACCAAAATTTATTGAGATTTACTGTCAGGCAATATGCAAAGTGCTTTACATACGTTTTGTAGTACTATATCACTTGTCAAATATAGTTGCTTCACTGGGACCTCCTTACTGTTTGAATCTGCAGGAGAGTTTCTAAATTCCATACCTTTTCAAATGCTTTTCATTCTTCCTGGAATGTCCTTTCACTACATTGTCTATTTCAGATTTAATAAATCTACTTGTTAAAGGTCTTAGAATTTATATTTTACTAAGCAGCTTGGGTAATTCTTTATTATTAACTATAGTTTTAAAATACTTTCCTATACCAGATTATGGTGTTCTTGATAAATGCTTTAATAAGACAAAAATATTCAGTGGAATATATTATCTTATATAAAGGCCCTGACTATGAAGGATTTATATCTGGACCCTCTTTTTTCTCCTTCCCTTCTCTCAGAGGAACAACATGCCCCCTCCTTCTAGTGACTATCAAGATAATATCTAAGTTCCAGAGATGAATCAAACTGAAGACCAATCTACCAGAACATACTACTGGTGGCTTCCAATGTGGGATAAAGTCATATCAGACAGTACAGAAGATTATTCCTTGAGTGTTAAGAAGTAAACATTATATTTCTAATCTTCATTATCTTAAAAAAATATCATCACTATAAATTAAGATATATAATATGTATGTCAAATCAGTCAGGTATCACAACAGGTAGGTTAAATATCCTGATGGGAAAATCTAAATAATATAGCATGGAGGAAATAACAGCGGTACTGTCATTTAGTAACTTTCAGTGAATTGGAGTTTATGTCACCAATTAAATGGGTTTACATAGTTTACATTACTTGGTTTTAACTGGCCTTTCACAAAAAAGATTCTGGTAAAAGACCTGCTAATAGAATATTCATACCAATGATATAATCACAAGCAAGCAAAAAAATTATAAACTTGATATTCTTCTACTCCTATGAGATTGACATGGTCAGTTCTAACATTAACATTAGTTACCTCCTCAAAAAAGTAACTAGTTTGTTCCGATGAGAGTCAAAGTTATTGTGTCTTTCACTTTAAATTGTTTTATTTTAAATATAGTTTACTTCAAAACAACCCCATCAAAAAATGGGCAGTAGAGCTAAAAAGACACTTCTCCAAAGAGGAAATGCAGATGGCCAACAGGCATATGAAAAAATGTTCAACAT